CCCACTTCTTCTTCGCCGCCGCCGCCGCCGGCTCCCGCCGTGCCTTCTTCTCCGCCATCTCGGCGTCGCTCAGCTTGTCCACCGACCTCGTCACCCCAGCAGCCGGAGCGGCCGCGCGTCCCGGCTCGCAAGGCATGCGAGGCCCCTCCAGCGCCCGCGCGGCTCCGATCATGGAGCTCCCGGCGTCGCCGCCCAGCTCCGCGGAGGCGACCTCGACGCCTTCGAGGCCGCGCCCTAGCGGCCGCAGCGCTCCACGGCGGCACTGGACGTCCAGCAAGTCCAGCGGGAAGTTGCCCACGATGACGCACGGCTTCTGCATGGCCAGGGGCTCCTCGTCCGGGCTCCTGCAGTGGAACATGCAGCCGTCGGGGAGCACGCATCGCCAGCGCCCGCGCGGCGCTTCGGCTGACCCGAACCGCTGCTGCCACTCCACGCTTGCCACCAGCGCGTGCGCTCGAGGGCCTTCGAAGGAGGCCAGGCAGCCAGCGCCGTCGAGGTGCTCGAGGCCGTCCATGGTGAAGGAGGCTAGCGCGTGCGCGTTGGCGTCGGGCTGGTGGCCCCCGAGGCTGCTCCACTTAGCACAGGGGAGCGCCCAGTGGGCTCCTGCCGGCCTCAGCACCTCGAAGAGCAGGTAGCGAAGCCGGGCACGGTCCTTAGCCCTGCTGAGGTCCCAGTACTGCCCGCACGTCCTGCGCTTGAGGTCGATGCCGGCCACCACGCTGCACACCGCGTTGGCCGCGCCTAAGCTCTGGACCGCCTGCGAGAGCCTCCCGACCCCATCGAAGATCTCCACGAAGAGGGGAGCGCCGTGCGCCCACGCCTGGACCTCGCCGATCTTCAGGTCGAGCTCCTCGAGCGGACGGCAAGCTGCGACGAGCGCGATGACGCGGCTCGAGGGGAGGTCGGAGAGCCGTGGCGCGGCCGGCGCCTCTGCCGCCGCCGCCAAGGCACCGTGCCGCACGGTCCCCTCGTCCAGCCGCCAGCCGGCCCGCGCCAGCCTGCTCGCCGCCGAGTGGTTCAGCACGCCCTTGTTGAGCTCCACGACCCCCAGCACCCGCTTCGCCTCCAGTGTCTCGATTCTCTGCCGCTGGAAGTCCGCGCCCTCCTGGCGGTCGTACGCCGCTGTCCAGACCACCTGCAGCCGTCCGTCGACCGCCGCCTGGTACACGTGCACCGTCACGCTGCTCAGGTCCTCGGCCAGGCTCAGCACCTTGCCCACCCGGCAGCGCTTCGCCTCCTCGCCCTGGTAGGCGACGAGCCGCCCGACCTTCACCTCTCGCATCCGCGCCTTCACGCGCGGCGCCAGCGCCTCGGCGGCCTCGCCGCCTCCAGGGGCCAGCCGCGCTGCCAGAAGCTGTCCGGCAGAGGCCCTGCCACGGCCGTCGTCCTCCTCCAACTTCACGATGCGCTCCGTGTCGTCAACCAAGCCCGGGACGCCGACCAAGAAATCCCCGTGGATGTCCTTGAGCACCTGCTGGGTCTCTGGGTCCCGCAACGTGGCCACGTTGCCCTTCGCGGAGAGGACCTCGAAGGGGCCACGCAGAGGCCGGCGGCCTGGAGCGTGCCCGGCCACGGCCTTGGAGAGCTTCGGGTCCTTGAACAAAACCATGTCCCCGACCTCCGGGCGCCTCGACGATCTCGCGCGATTAGCCAGCTCCGCCCTGCGTCGGCCGGCTCGAGCCCGATGCTGAAGATAAACCTCCCGCAAACGCCTGAACTGCTCGAACTGCGCTGCCGCGACGTCGGAGACTGCCTCACGAACGGCGGGCTCCAGCGGCAGCAGCTCAATTTCCAGTGGCGAAGCCAACGACCAACCCATGCAGAGGTCCCTCGGCGACAGCGCCGACTTGCCGGGCGAGTTCCACAACACGAACTCGACGATCGGCAGCAGCTCGGCCCACTGGCCGGGGGCACACTTAAAAACGTCGTGCAGGAAAATGCCGATCTCCCTCGCACACTCGATGTGGGACCGCTCCGCGTCCGCCTGCTCACAGGGCCTCCACGACGTGCCGAAGCGGCCCGCGAAGTTGAGGAGCGCCCAGAGCTCTTCCATGAGAGCGTTGCAGAACTCCTTGCCCCGATCCGAGCTCACCAGCATCGGCCAGGTCTTGGCCCGAGTCGCGCATCGAAAGAAGGCGCGCCGGACCTCGGAGTGCTGCAGGTGCTTGAGCGGCTCGAGCAGGGGAGCCCCCGTCGTCACGCAGATGTAGGTCAGCACGTACGCGTACCCGTCGACGTCGGGGGGAGTGATGCGGCCCTCCACGTCGATGACCACATGATGGAAGGGAAGCCGGTGCCGTGCCACGATGAAGCTGGCCTGCACCTTCGTAGTCTGCTTCCTGAATCGGAGGCAGGCCCAGCAGCTAGCACACCACTTCTCGATGTCCGCCGCGAGCCCCGGCCAAACCACCAGCCGCCGGGCGCACTCACGAGTGGCGACCACCGTCTTGTGGCCCCCCGACGGACCAGCGTGAACGTGGAGGAAGATGAAGCGCCCCCACGATATACCCGAGCCCGGACCGCCAGATGCAGGGAGAACTAGCAGCCAGCGCTGCTCCCCTGGGCCCACCGTCACGAACTGCTCGAGCGCGAAGTCCTCCCCGAGACGCTGCGCCTCGGGGGTGTCGCCGGCGCCAGACTCGGCGCGGAGCTGCATGCAGATGGCCCCGAGCTCCTCGTCCTTCCACTGGTCCCCGATGATGTGGGCACGGAGCGACTTGGACAGCTCGAACGGCTCGCTCCCCGCCTCAGGCTCACAGCCCCGCACCTTCGCGGCGTACTCCTCCCTGATGGCGATGTCGGCGTCCTCCAGCTTGCGCCCGTCCGCCACCTCCGCGTCGAAGGCTGCAGTGCCGCGCTCCGGAGCACACGCCACGCGCCCGACGGAGCATACCTGCTCAGACGTCGGTGCCCGCATGCCGGTGATCGCCCCGAGGACGTCCGGCACCTCGAAGGCCTCCCGCTCGCCGCGCGCGAAGTCGGAGTCCGCGAACTCGACGAAGGCTCCTGCTGCCCGCCCGCCGAAGCGATCGCGGAGGGCCCGGTACCACGATAGCCCCAGGGCTCCCGCGAAGACCTCGGAGTAGGCGGAGGAGTAGGAGGACACCTTGACGATCGCACCGTTGCTGATGGCCGACCCCCTGCAGTGCCGATGCACGTGAGTAGCGCCCAGCGCGGGGAGGCGCGCACCGCCCTCCCACAGCAGCCAGGCGCAGGCGAAGAGCTGGACCAGCTCGGCGCCCTTCGGCAAGCCCGCCTGCAGCAGCTCCACGTCGATCTCCGTGACGAGCTCCAGCCCGAACTCCACGCACGGCTGCGCCAGCGCCACCTCCACGCCCGGCTCGGGCCCCTGCGGCACGACAAAGCACGACAGCCGATAGGAAAAAACCCGCGCGGCCTCCAAGGCCACGACGCCCGCGGCCGGCGCTCGGCGGACCCGGATGCAGTTGCACGTGAAATCCGCTCGGCCGCCGCCAAACTCCAGGAGGTCCCGCACGAGCTCCGCCGACACGGCGATGCAGGGGCCAGGCCCGACGGCGACTGCCGGCTGCGGGCGGACCGCGCGCATGCGCGCCGCCGAGGCCGCCACGTCGACCGCGTCGGGCTCCCCGAACGCCTCCTCCGGCGCCTCAGCCAGCCGCGCCTCCTCCTCGAGCTCGCGGTCGGCCCTAATGCACTGGCCGCACCGCGCCAGCACCAGCGAACTCCGCCCGCACGCGCAGCGCCCGCCGCTGAATTCCAGCATCCGCGGGGGGGCAGAGACCACCTCCTGCATGAGGACCTCGCCCAGCGTGGCCGACACCTTCACGCCCAGCGCCTCGCCGAGGTCCTGCCCGAAACGGCGGTGCGCCCCGGCGCCCTCCACCAAATAGAGGGGGGCCGGGCGCTCGTCGCCGTGGGCAGCCGCTCCGAACTCCGGAAACGCCTCTCGCACAAAGCCGATCCTGCTCGGGCTGTGGGCGCGCGGCCCGATCGCCACGAACGCCCTGACGTTCACCCACGCCTCCGCGACCTGCATGCCCTCCGCCTCTCTCGCGTACCGCAGCGCGAGAGCGGCCTCCACCACTCTGGGGTGGGCCGCTGCAGCCGCCACCAGCCCGCCGTGGCCCGTCCCGATCACGACCTTGGGCCACCGCGCGGCACACTCTCGCAAGACGGCGGCCACTGCGGTCAGCACGTCATTGCGAAGCTGCTTCCGCGCCTTACCACTCGCATCACCTGGGAAGCGAGGAGGCGCGATGTAGTACAGGCCGCCGGCACCGTCTGCCAGCGGAGGGTCGTGCGGGATCATGCGCAGCCGCAGGCCTGGCGCCGCCAGCTGCAGCTGTCGAGCTGCCCGCGCCTGCTCTGCGCTCCGCCGCCTCTCGCATCCGTAGTCCGGCAGGTACAGCGCGATGGAGTCGCCCTTCTCGCGCTCCGCCCCGGCCACGGCCACCAGCTGCAAGGCGGCCGCGTCGGGAGTCTCATCCAGGCCCCACGGGACCCCCTCCCCTGGACGGTAGTCATCACCGATGATGTCCTCGATTGTGATGTTCGCCAGGGAGTGAGCCTGCTCGCGCAGGAACTTGCCGTGGGCCTCGTTCTCTCGGGAGGGGCCATCACCAAGGGCCGCGCTCCGCCCCGAGAGATTCATCAGCCTGCTGCCGTCGCTCTCGATCTCGCCAACCCAGCGGATGACGGTGGAGTCCGTCTCGCCTCACCCGTAGCGTCCTTCACCGCTGCCGCGTGGTCCGTCCAGCACAGAGCGGGCAGCCGACCGAAATCCTTACGTGCCTCCCGCCTGGTCTCGCGCTGCGCATACAGCTCACCCCGGCGGGGGTGCCAGTTGCTCTGCGCCAAGCTGAGGCAGCCGCCGTACATCGCCAGCACGTTGAGCGTGCGGCGGTCGGCGGCCAGCTGATACACGCTGCCACCCCAACCGTAGGGGCAAAAATCCGCGACCTGCTCGAGCGGGCGGTCCTTCGAGATCGCCCCGACCATGTCGATCACCGCGAGGCGGATGGCCTCGCACGCGAGCTGCTGGATGGCGCGCTGGGCCGCAACCTTCTCGGAGGTCATCGGCCACTCGGCGTCCTTCTTGAGCTGCTGCGTGAGGATCCCCAGCGGCTTCTGCACCTCCTTGGGGAAGTGGCCGCGGATCCAGTTGAACGTGCCAAGGAACCTCCGCAGCGCCGCCACGTCCTCGAGCACCGACCAGTTCTTGATGAGCTCCAGATGCCGCTCGCACGCCTCGCTGCCCTCGCGGCCCACGATCTCGCCGAGCGCCTCGATGGAGGGCTGAGCCAGCCTGTCGAGGGACTTCTCGGCACCCATGGAGCACCCGGCCGCGATGCACACGTCCAGCAGGCCCTCGACCGCCAAAAGATGCTCGAGGAGGGTGGTGGCCGCCTTCGGGTACTTCCGCTGCCAGTAGACCAGACGCTCGGCGTAGTACTCGTCCGTCGGCACCTCCAGCTCAACGATGTCCCGAAGCTCGTCCCAATCCTGCCACACGTGCGCCACTGACGGGTCGTCGCCGGCCGGCTCGCCGTCGGTCTGAATCACGGCGCCCACGATGTCGCCGACCTCGATGCTGACGCCGGGCTGGTCCCAGTTGCCGACCAGGAGGAGCTGCTCCCGGCCGAGCCAAGGGCCGGGGGCGGCCCAGACGGCCGCCGCGCCATTCGCCACCACGTCGCCGACGACACCCGCTGCGAGGCCGCTAGCGCGAGCTGGCACCAGAGCGCAGTCGCCGAGCTCCAGCCGCACGCCCTCCTCGCCGCTCAGGTAGATGGGGACGGCGGACTCCGAGTCGTCGAGCACGATCACGCCTGCGTCGCCGCCGCCGAACTCCGCGGGGCACTGGCCGCCGACCATGCAGATGGGGTAGCTCGGGCAGGCCGCGCCGGACCACACCAGGGATCCTACAGCACTGGCAGCCCGACGATCCTCACCTCGACGCCTATCGGCATCGCACTCTGAGAACACCGCCGAGATGGTCAACAGCTTCGCTTGCACCGCGTCGGCCTCCGCACGCTTGACCGTGATGCCCAGCCCCGGTAGGTAGTGGCCCTGTAGCGTAGGCCGGTGCCCGATCCCCAGAGGGGGTGCATCGAGCGCTGGGGCCCCAAGAATGATAAGAAACGGCCTGTCCCAACCCCCGCGCAGAAGCCGAAGGCGAAACACACGCACCACTCGCGTGCCATCCAGCCCCTCGAAGGCCAGGCGCAGGTCCACCATGCCACGAATCTTCAGGTCGCCCTTGTCCGCCACCGACGAGGCCTTCGAGTCCCGGCCCCAGTGCATCAGGCCCGCGATCGGCCAGTCGGGGTCCTCAGGAGACTTGCCCTCCGCGATCGCGCTGTTGATGATGCTGACGATCGTCGCCTCCCACGTCAGGGAGAACACAGCCCCGCCATCAAGGAGCGTCCTGATGCTGAGGCCGTAGACGTGCGTGTGGCACAAGTAGTGGTACCCGTCGTCGGGCTCCTGCACCTGCGTCCAGGCGCTGGCGGGGATCTGGCCCAGGTCCTTCAGAGCTCCTTCGGGCGAAGGCGAGCCCCTGACGACGCTCACCTGCGGGAGGTCGTAGCTCGGGCCGAAGACTCCGCCACAAGGTCGCACCCACTCGAGCTTGCCCCCCGCCGCAGCTTGCACCTTCGGCGCCGCGCCAGAGGCTGCGGGCCGCGCCGCCTCCTCGGCCGCAGGCGCTGCTCCCTGGCCGCTGCCGGGGGGCCCGCGCTGCCGAGGCTCGGCGGCGGCGCCTTAGCTGCGGCCGCGCCAGCATAGACCGCTGCAATGACCTTCTGAGCTGCCTTACCCGAGTGGCTGAACTTGCAGTCCTTCTCGCTCTTGCTGCACGCACCCCGGAGGAACTGCAGGCAGAGCTGCGACTTGAGGCCGCCCTTGCCGCCGTCGTCCGAGCCCTTGCCCTTCTTGCCGTCCGCGCCCTTGCCCTTCGGCCCGGTCGCGTCCTTCTTGGTCCTCCGCGACTCGGCGATGGCAGCCCGGTCGTGCGAGAACCTGCAGGCGTCACCACGCGCACACGTGCCGCTGTCCCTCATCTGGAAGCAGACCTTCACAGCTCCCTCAGCGCCGGCGCCGCCGGAGCCGCCAACAGCGCCGACCTCGGGCGGCTCCTGATCGCCGCCACCGCCGCCGCGCCGACGCCGGCCACCGCCGCCGCCCGGGCTGGGCGCGAAGTCCGAGCCCACCGCCGCGACGAGCGCCTTGGCCGAGCTCTCGGCCTCCTCCAGCTTCAGCAGCACGCGATGGGCCTCCCTCCAGGTCTCGACGCCGCGGACCTCGGGCTGGGCGCCAGAGCGCTGATACACTCGGCGATCCTTGAGCACCTCTGCCCGGTGCGCGGGAGGGATGAGCGCCAAGTAGCCGAGCAGCAAGTCGCGATCGGACTTGCCCATCCCAGCCAGCTCCATCTCCGCCACGATGTTCTCGAACGTCGCCTGAAACTCCAGCGCGCTCATCTTGCCTCGGGAGAGCGTCCTCCACTCAGCGTTGAGCCGCTGCTGCTTCTCCAGCAGGCCCTCCTTGAACTCCATCAGCCGCTCCTTGAGGCTCTGGTACACCTCGTCGGGATCCGCCGCCAGCCTGCCTGACCGGCGAGCCTGCTTCAGCTCGACCTTGTACGCCCGCTGACGCGAGCCTTTCAGGCAGGTCCCCAGCACACGCACCATCTCCGTCGCCGACATGCCCGAACCGTCGTTCGCCAGGCCGACCATCTCCTCGAACTCCTCCACGAACGAGTCCACGTCGAAGTCGCCGTCGCCGAGGGTCGGCAGACTGTAGTGCGGCTTCACCTGGATCGTGGACGACTTCTTGTCGGCCCGCCGGCCGAGCGCCCCCGCGAGCCCCTGCAGCGCTGCCGCCAGGCTGGGCTCCGCCTGGCCCGCCTCGCTCGGCCCGCCCCGCGGGGGAAGCCCCGGCGGCAGGTCCTCGCCGAAGGCGGGGAAGGCGGGTGGCCCCGCGGGAGCCGCGCCGACGCCGGTGGGCCCGGCGGGCGGGGCTCGGTCCTGCGGGGGCCGCGCCGGCGCCCCGCCGGCCACGGCGTCGCGAGCGCTGCCGCCGCCGCGCGCCACCGCGAGGAGGTCCATCAGCGCCCGCACGTCCTCGTCGGCGTCGTCCGTCTCGACGTCCAGGACGGCGTGCAGCTTCGCCTCCAGCGCGGCCGCCACGCCTTCGCTGTGGGCCCGCGCCTCCACCAGGAAGCGGGCCTTCCTCATGCCGAACTCGACCGCGCCCTCCGGCACCGCCTGCCGCCGCAGCGTCAGCACGGCCCGCGCGCGCAGCAGGCGCCGCTCGAAGTCGCGCATCGACTCGTGCGGCTCCACGTCCTTGAGCAGCCGCTCCAGGACCTCGTCGTCCGTGAGCGGCCCCCAGCTGCCGTCCGACAGGGCTCCAGTGGCGTCGGAGCCCGCGTCGGACGCCCGCGCCGGCGAGTCCAGCAGCCGCAGGACGTCGTCGGCCGCCGGCGGCTGCGCCGCCGCTGGCGTCGCGGGGCTGCGCGCCGCGGCGGGGCCCTGCTGGCGCAGCCGCGCCTGCCAGTCGTGGCCGTGCAGCGCCTCCATGGTGCTCCGCCACAGCGCGCTCTCGCTGGCCGCGATCGCGGGCGCAGTGCGAAGCCGGCGACCTGGGCCGGCGCGCCACTGCACCCAGGCGCCGAAGGCGAGCAGCGGCGGCTGCGCCACGGCCCCGTCGGCGATCGCCTCCAGCGGCGAGCCCTCGAAGCCGGCGACCTCCACGCCAGCGCCGGCGCCGGCGCCGGCTGCCGCCGCTGGGGCCGCGGCCGCCTGCGCCGACGGCGCGCCAGCCTCCGCGCCCGCCTCGGCGTCGCCCGCGGCGTCGCCCAGCTCAGCGCGCGGCGCCCGCGCTGGCGACGCCATCGCCCGGGCCCGGGCCCGCTCGGGAAGAGTTTCCCGGAGCAGCCCCCACGTGAGGCTCACCTGGAGCCTCGGGGCCACGCGAGCGGCCTCCTGAGCCGCCCTCGGGCCCTATGGGCCCTCGCAGGCCCTCGGACCCCGGGCGGGCCCCCCGCGCCTCCCCCGCGCCTCTGAGGAGAGGGAGGAGGGGGGCCTTTCTCCTCTTGAGCCACGCGGCGGCGCGGGGCAAGCAGCCGTCGCCACCGGGGCCGTCGTCGCCGGCCCGCACTCCGCCGCCTGTGCGCCCATGCCGCTCCTCATACTACTGCTACTACTCCTACTTCTACGACTACTACTACTACTACTACTACTACTACTACTACTACTACTACTACTACTACTACTACTACTACTACTACTACTACTACTACTACTACTACTACTACTACTACTACTACTACTACTACTACTACTACTACTACTACTACTACTACTACTACTACTACTAACTACTACTACTACGACTACTACTACTACTACTACTACTACTACTACTACTACTACTACTACTACTACTACTACTACTACTACTACTACTACTACTACTACTACTACTACTACTACTACTACTACTACTACTACTACTACTACTACTACTACTACTACTACTACTTACTAACTACTACTACTAATACTAACTACTACTACTACTACTACTACTACTACTACGACTACTACGACTACTACTACTACTACTACTACTACTACTACTACTACTACTACTACTACTACTACTACTACTACTACTACTACTACTACTACTACTACTACTACTACTACTACTACTACTACTACTACTACTACTACTACTACTACTACTA